GAGAATTTGGCTGGCAGCTACAATAGCAGCTTTTCTGAGCCTTTTCCCCCTCACTATTTAGACAAACTGTCTTTAAAGAATGAGAAGATCTTAGGAAGAGGAAGCTTTTTAAAAGATCGTTTGATTGATTGCATATAACTTTAACATAATCACTCCTTCTGGGCCTCCTGGGAGAACTGCATTTTTTAAAAGGGATGTGAATGAGGAGAAGGAGGTGAGATGGTGAGGAAAGCAAACAGAGGGTGGCATAGAAAAATGCATGCAGATGGTTATGGGAAACAAACACAGCAACGGGGTGAAATCCTGGCTCCACTGAAGTAAATGGGAAAACTCCCACTGGTTTCAACAGGGATTTCACCCTGGATTGGCACCAATGGTCAGGCAGAGAGGGTGAGGGAAAATATGACAGGAGACCAAACCCAGGAGGTAGGTGGCAAGAGCAGAGTCACGAAGGGCTGTGAAAGCAAAGTAGTGGGAGCCCATGAGGAAATACAAATAGATGGTGACATGGCTAGATCAATTGGTGAGGAAGGTCCCATTTGGCAGCTAAAGTTTGACTGACTGGGTGGGGGAGAAAAAGGGTGTTAGAGAGGTCAGCAAGGAGAAGAATGCAGTAATTGAGAAGGGACATGACCAGGGCCCAGTTCATTAAAAAGCACCAACCTTGTTAAAAATCCCTCCATCAAGCAAGCTGTTGCTGAGTATAAATCAGTGCAAGCAGAGATGGCAGTAGTGCTACTGAAACCTAAAGGGACCATGGCAAAAGGTTCCAAGTCTGGATCTCATGCTCAGTATGATTTTTTTTTCTTCAGTGCCTTGGTTCTCAAAGTGTGATTCATAAACCACCAAGAGTCTGGAGAAGGTTTCCTAATGAGGCATTGAAAACCATGCACTGGGGGATTAGGAAAGGAGGTGATCCATGGAGGGATGTTTCTCTTGCAAAGTGGTGCGTGGAATGAAAGAGGTGAAGGACCACTCTTCTGTGCATGAGATGAGCCATGAAAGAAAGGGGATGGGGGAAGGGAATCATGAGAGTAATCAGGGAAAACATTATTCATGGGATGAGAAGATGAAAGGGAAGCTTAGGCATAATTTGACTTTTTATGTGTAGGTTGGGGAGCTCCAGTCAGACGAATGGGGCCAGGAGTACAGGGGAGATGGTGGGAGCAAATTCCATCAGCCTGCCCCAGGTGTGAAGTTTGGGGGATAACAGCCCCCCAGCTCCTCAAACTATGACCAAGAAAGGAAAATAGATTTTCACACACTTGACATTTTAAAACAATCCTCAAAGTTTCCAAGATTCTGATACAGAAATAGAGAAGAGTGAGGGAGTATACACTGACCAGCAAAACATTTACAAACCTAACATGGAACCATCATGAGATGACTAGTTCTTATTTCGATTTATTTGAATATTAGGAGCCGGAATGTGCTCTAGCAAGTTCTGCAAGGATTCTTCTCTCCAATCTGAGTCCAAACTCCCTGTTAGCAACAAATGTCCCACTTTCCATATAAAGAACCTATATAAGGCATGCTTGCAAAACTGTCTGCCTTGTGGTTCTATGGTTCTCTGAAGTGAAGCCAGTGGGGATGCAGACCTTCAAAAGGAGGGGATGAGAGGCTTGTAGAGGCCAGAGATCCATTGACTCTTCCACTGTAACTAGGTAATACTTGCTCCACACTGAAGATTATGGAGGTGCAGTCAATGCTACTGAGTGCACCATTAATTGATGCGGCAATCTGAAATATCATCTTGGTTGCTTGTCAAAAGAAATGGTGAGGTCTGCTGACAAGAGGGAGCAAAGGGGACAATTTCCCCTGAGCCTGGAGATTCAAAAGGGCTTAGGATGCGAGGCAGCGCTAAGGAGTGGTCTGGACAGTGCTGAGGGCTGGCTGCCCCAGTTCCACACCTTCTGCCAAGGCTTTGTCTCTTCCAGGAGTGCAGCGCCCCACCACCAACACACACACCTTGCCCAGAGGCTTAGAGAGTCTGTCGACTCCCGTGAGAATGATACATATAATATATAATCACTGTGGTGCTGGGACCCACTGGGAAGTCAAACTACGCACCATGACTTGTATAGAGCAGAACTTGTTTAACATGGCATGCTATTGGCTTTACAGAGGGAGAAGACATAGCATGTGGTCATCTGCTTATTCCATGTTTCTGTTCTCCTATTCTGTTTACTCTAAGGTTGCCAGTTTTTGTTGGACATATTCCTGGAGGTTTCATCACAAGACATAATCTTTATAAAGATTAATCTTTAATTCCTGGAGACTCCCGGACAATCTTGCAGGGTCAGCAACCCTGCTTTATACCCCTTCATGCCATGCTGCAGACAGGAGAGTGTGGTGAACTGAGTAGATTGAAAAGTGAATTTGGCTCAACCAATAGATTCTTCCAAGGTCTTGGGAAGTTATATTCCTGTGGATTCCATTCCCATTATCGGGAGTTTCACTTGTTTACTGAGAGAATGGAAGCCTCTTATCATGCCAGTTAATTGGGATCATATTGGCACACTTAGTTTAGGAGAGGAAATGAGATATGCAGTTTATAGCCCTGATTGAAGAAAGTTTCCTTATTCAAGATATAACTTAAACACATGCTTAAAGCTAAGCATGTTTTGATGTATTGTCCTGAACAGGCCTGGATGTAAGGGATGTACTTGAGTGTTTTCTTGAAATGAGGCCTAACTAAGTTAGAGATTGAAATCAAAATATGAGAAAAAAAAGTTATCATCACTGAACAGACATGGACTTGAGCCCTCACGGGGGACTCTAGCATGGAGTCATGGTCATGTCTTTCTTACTCATTTCTTTTCTTTGTTGAATTTTTCCTATTTATGAAATTGTACCAAAACTGAGCTCTTTTCCACACCCCATTCCCTGTCAAGGAACTCTGCTGAAAAAGAGACAATAAACCCTGATTAATTCTGACTCTACAAACAGAAGCCTTTTTTGCAGGCAGATGGGAAACTTAATTAGCTTGAAGAGAAAAAATATGAATTGTTTACTATACTACCAAGAGGTTCTCGGGTTAGAAACCTGAGATAAATTCATGCTGCAGGCACTTCAACTTTGCTTTTCTTCTAATAGGTTTTATCATTAACTTGTTACAGCTAAAATATTAACTGCCTGAGCTAGCACCTGGAAGAGCTGTGGGAGTGGACTATTCTGGTTCTGGGTGTATCTGATAGCTGTAGGAAATCACATCACTACAATTGACTGGCTGCAGATAAGATCAGGCACACAAAATAGTTCCATTTCTATTTCATTAAAAAAGTGAAAACTGTTTCTGAGAACTCTGATGCTCGGTATAACCATTGATATTACAGGACTATGTTTAAAAATGTTACAATGTTGACTTGCCATTACAAGAATTCAGTGTTACAGGAAATCAGAAACAATATGGAACAGTTTACACTAACTCTACATTAAAATGTTCCATCTGTTCTTGCTTTAGGTTCTTAGAGAATTGCTTTTTCATCTCAGTAATGCTTTTCACTTCCTATTAGTAAGGCTTTTAAAGGTAGGCACTGAGTTAGTATAAAACCCACAGCTTTTGAGTTTTAAACGGCTATTAAACCTAAAGCTGTCTTGAACTACAATAAAAATTTATTTTGGCTACAAAAGACTACTTTGAAACATAACCCATCTGTATTATTTCTCCTCCAAACATTGCAACATCCTGTATAATAGAATATTTATCTTACACACAGACCACATATCTTTATGAAAACAATTGTTTCAGCTTAATTTATGGGGAGGGGGCAGGCAGAGAGAGAGAGAGAGAAAGAGAGAGAGAGAGAGAGAAAGAGAGAGAGAGTGTTCATAGTAAGATTCCTAATATTCTATGATGCTAAGGTAAATTGGTTACAGAACAGGAGATGTAATAAAATTATTGCAATTCCTCAAAGTAATCTGAAATCTAATGTTTGTTGCAATTGACTGTCACTTTTTGCATATTATAACCTAATTTTCATAAAAATCCACACACCATTACATATGACAATTTGCTGCCAGGGAATTGTGTGTGAAAATGAGAGACACAATTGCATCCACATTTTACTGACAATTTAGGCCCATACACTGTGGTACCTAAACTTCATTATAGATTTAAGTGCACTAAATAGTACTGAAAGTAGTACATGGACCTGATCTTGCAGTCATTGCACACATAAGATTCCCAGTCACTTCAGTGGGCATGATTATGCATCCATGGGGGCTGCAGGAACAAGTTACAATCCTACACCAAGAGTAAATCTATTTCGCTACTGAATGTAGCCTACACTTGATTCACACAAAATGTTCACTGGGAGTCACATACATATATCAAAGATCATACATATATTAGATCCCTTGAGTTGTAGGATGAGGATCCATCCGTACAATGCTCTGTTAAGTCTTAATGGAACTGCCTATATTTAGCACTCTCTAAATATTACCAGTCTTGACATTTTCATTGTGATTCCTCAGACATAAGGACTGTTTTGTGGTGGCATCAGCCTATACACTTGTATTATCTCCAATCTGCGAATGATAACAGTGATCTTTGCACATATCTGAGAGTTAGGCAAAGTCACTGTTCTGATTGGTTCAGCTCCTTTATGTAAATTAAAACCATTCACTTCAGAATTAACTTCTTCAATAGCTTCTAGGTCACACAGATTATAAATACCAAAGAGGGACATATGCATTCTATGGCTTATACTACACAATCTACCTACCCATCTGTCCTAATCCATATCTTCACAAGCCCATAAAAAATCCTAGCAATATTTTTGCTTTATGTGCCATGGTATCTGGTACACAGGTGTTAAGGGAGAAGTGACACTTCTGCTTTGGTAGCATGATAACATGGGACAACCAGACCAGTTTCATATGGGCATATCCTTCCTTTTACATGACCTGAAGGAACTTCAATCAGGAACTTGGCTGTAGCTCCCTAAATATTTTCTGGATTGGTATCTTTACAGTAACATATTTTAGAATAAACTTACCTCAGTAGATCCAGTAAAAGCAATTTTATCTATGCCAACATGAGAAGCTATTGCTGCGCCTGCAGTTGGCCCAAATCCTGGCAAAATATTGACTACTCCTGGTGGAAAGCCAGCCTAGCAAAACAGAATTCGAGGAAACATGGTTTGTGAAAATTGACCAAGAAAATTAAACTAGACATGCTGTGGCAGTTCCTTAGTTGTAAGGAGAGCCAGAGACACTATTCCTGTCAATTATTCTTACCTCCTTGATGAGAGCTCCCATATAAAGCGCGCTGAGTGGTGTTTGCTCTGCTGGTTTAATAACTACTGTATTGCCACAGCACAGAGCTGGGGCAATCTTCCATGCAAACATCAGCAGGGGGAAGTTCCACTGTAGGAAAAAATACAAGTTGATAGATGGAAAAATATTGTAGTGGTGCTTTGTTTTCAAGATGTCAAGCTGCTACCTCACTGATTTCTCAGGCTTATCCTCAACATAAATCTTTCCCAGCACAAAGCAAGGTTTTTTTTAATTACCCCCATTAAGAAAGAGGCAACAGTGACCTTTCAATTCTTTCTCCTCTACTCAAAGAATTATAATCTCCACTCCTATCTTCACAAAAAGAATTTTGTGTTATATGTTAATTTTTTTAAAAAAAATCAGAGCTTTTAATTTCATTGACTATTTTGCAATTGGTTTGGCATTTCTAATTTTTTTTCCTTCAGGACAAATACTTCCTGGCTCTGTGGTGTTCAGAAAGAACTATTCTGCATGAGTACCAGATATTTTTATATTTATATTTATATCTAGGTTTCTATTCCTTGGATGCTTCTAAAGGAATCCATAACATTTTGGGGCAAACCCATACATAATTCATGGATGGGATTATAAGAAACAAGTGCTCCAAACCCTTCCCAATATCTCAACTGGTTTTTCTGTCTATTTATTTACTTAGGAAGTTTTAATGTGTATACAGATCATTGCCATGGAAATATCAGAGACAAAAAGACAATCTGCTATCTGTGGCATTTTCATTACAAGTTCTTGTTGAACAATTGGTATGAAACACACAAGAAAAATAGAGCCAATAAATTGGTCCAGCCAAATTATCTGCTGGTGTAAATTTGTGCAACTCCGTTGACTTAAACTGAAGGATACTAATTTACTGAAGCAGAAAATTTGGCCCATTATATTTATTTACTACACAAACTGGTTAGGATTCCATCTGATAGCTGTCATCAAAGGTATCTGGCCTTCTGCATTTGGGCCTGACCCTGCAACCATTTATGCAGGCAAGTTACTTTACTCACATGAGCAGTCCCATTGAATTAATGTAAGTAAAGTTATTTACATCTGTGTTTGCAGTATTGGACCCATCGATTTAACTAAAAATCTCACTTGGAAGAAAATAGAAATATCTATCATGAAGAGTCAGCCACTAGCTAGAATGTGTTACTGCCTGACACATATCAGCTGCCACTCTCATAGACCTCTCTCTAGCCCGTGGCAAGCTTGAAAAAATACACAAATGTCTTTCCTTCACTGAACACCCATTTTTCCTCCCCTCAGTTGTTTATAAACTTTGGAGACAGAGTGATGTTTTAATTCCATCGCCAGTATATAAACCTGGGAGTGGAGACACTGGGCCAATGGCATGCTGACAGCCTGCACTTTTAGCGCCTCTTTCAGTAAAACTCTGGAGAGTTTACGTAGCAGGGTGAAAATAGGCATCCCTGGTTAAGAACCTTGCAAGGTCTTCACTCATGCTTGCCCCGGAAGGTTTTGCTAGGTGAGACAGTAAATATCAAAATAAATATAGCTTCAACCTGTACCTCCATAGATAGCGTATGTAGTGGATCATGGGGGGACTCATAGTAACACCCAGGAGGTGCACTGCCCCCTGTGCCCCCACCAAAATTTTAATTTGTTATGTGGGGTGCTCTCTCGTGTCCTCTCCCTGCTCCTCTGGGTGGCTAGAGGCTTTGAGGGAGGGTCTCCTTGATATTTTTGTACAAGCCTAAATAAAGTAAATAAATCATGCATTCTCAAAGATCTTGGGTACCTCCAGCAAAGTGCTCAGTTCCCCCAGCTCTCAGTGACTTCAGCAGAACTTGCCAGCTGAGTGCTGACCAGCTCCCGGGAAGCAGCCAGTGTCTTAGATTGGGTGTTAAGGGTCTGATCCTGCAAACACCTTAACTTTACACAAGCCTATTGCTACTGACGTCACTCATTCCGCAGAGCTACTCGTGACTAAAAGTTAAGAATTTGTGTAGGTGTTTGCAGGACGGAGGTGTAGACTGTGAGCTCCTTTCAATGGTGTTCATGTAGAGAGCCAACCACAAGAGTCACCCCTTAGCAAAGAAATATAATAATAAATAGTAAAGAAAAAAGGCCTTTACATTGTTAAAAATTATCTTTTTTGGGTTGCTCCTTTTTACTGACATTTCTGCATATTGCCAATATACCCTGGCCACTCAGTGGCTTGCAGCAGACATGAATAAAACCAGCATCAACAAAAAATTCCAAGACCATCTTGATTAGTTCCCTAATGCTTTGTAAAGGAAAAGCTTCCACAGCATATTTTAATAGCTGTACATGAGCCTCCCATTGAAATTTCTCCCAGAAACCATTAACCAGTACTTGAAAAGAATGCTTAGTCAATGAAGTTCCCATGCAATGTGTCACTGGAGTTTACTGAGGGTGCTTAATGGGGCGGGGATGGGGAATATTAAGTTTAATGAAATAATAAGTATCCTTTTCTCTTGCAACAAATACAATAAACCCTTCGTGTTTTAATAATCTGGACAATGTTAACTGTAATGACGTATCTTCTGGAATTTCTTCTCCTCGAGCTTTATAAAAAGAAATACTAGGAAAGAACAGAATTAAAATACATAACCTTGTCCCAGGAACTTGAAGGAGTCTGCTAAATTGCAGTAAAAACTAACTAAATAAAAAATGACTGCCGCAGCAAAGCATCAATTTTCCACAAGTTGTGTGAACATCCATAACTGATGACAGCATATTAACACTGTGTTTTGCTTTGCTTGTTTTAATCATGAGAATTCTATGACTTGAGAACTTAACTCCTAATACCAGAGCTAAAACCCTATTAGCGTGTTCAAATAAGCATTTGCAGGGAGACTGTTAAAGATATGTCAACAATATGAGCTCAGCTTTTTTTTTTTTCGTAATGGAAAACACACACAGCTGAGGTCCATGTTTTATGTGTCTTTTAAAGAGAGCTGGTTCAAACGAAAATAAATACACGGCACTAGCAGAGATACTCACAGGGATGATCTGTCCACACACTCCAATGGGTTCATGTCTTGTAAACGTAAAATAATCTCCATCTGAAACAGATGAGAATGGTTACTATCAAGAGCAGTTTGACTTGGCAGAACAAACAAAAAACGAGGGGGAGGGAGGATTTTAAGGATCAGCTTTTGTTGGCAGTAAAAGAAATAAAGTAGTCACTGAAATGTCTTTCGTGAGCCAGCGTGGGAAATCTGGAGCTACCCAATTGCTTCTTCAGAACAAGATGTTCAGGCACCACACGTGAGGGTAATATGCTTGGTTCCTTTGGAAAGAGGACTAACTATGTGCAAATGGCATGTCTACACTGCAGCTTGACACCTATGTCTGCCACAGGTCAGAGGACTCAGGCTCTTGGGGCTTGGGCTAAGGGGCTGTTCACTAGTCTGAGTTCTGGGATCCTTCCATCTTGCAAAGTTCTATAGTCTGGCTACAGCTCAAACCTGAACATCTATCCTGCAAATACACAGCCCCTTTGCCTAAGCCTGAGTCAGCTGATGGGGCATCTGTGAGCTTTTAATTGCAGTGCAGACATGGCCACACAGGTTTTGGCAGTGGCCTCAAAGAAAGCCACTTACTTGCCTACTCTGCTGCTAGGCTGGAAGAAAAGAAGAAAAAAAAATCCTCTGAATCACTGAGGAAGAGCTTTGTGTGGCTTGAGAGCTTGTCTCTCTCTCACCCAACAGAAGAGACATTACCTCATCCACCTTCTCTCACTGAGTCACTGACAATTATTTTTTAAAGCCTTGAAACCAAGATGGCCAAAAAAACCCACACACGCCCAAAAACAAAAAACAAAACAAAACATATGTGGTAGGTACCAGGCTTTAAAATCAGGCCTATGCCCAGCCTGAAGGTTCATTTAAGAGGGGCAGACTCCTTAGCTAAATCACTTAGCTAAAGGGGGTGAACAAAAACTTGAAAGCCCCATGATTTGGGGGGTTTGATCTTTCCTTTATAAGTACCTTTCCCATTGCCCCAGTTAGAGCTGTAGGTCTCTGAGTGGATCTAGGAACACACATGCATTTACAAATATAGGCACCAGAATCACCTCAGATAAATATGGGTAAAACTGGTGAGAAGTGCAATCTCAGGGGAAAGGGTGAAAAATTAGAGCACTTAGTGGTTTTGGGAACCTGCAGCAGACTTTTGTCCCATACATCTGGTAACAATAAATGGGTTAATCCAGAAAGTTTTCTGGTTTTAAATACAGGCTTTAGCTTGGCTTTGATTGGAAACAAACTTTTTAAGGTTTACTTGGTTTTTTAAGTCTATTTCATGTTGTATAGGGGAAACATACACTTAAAACACTACTGTACATTAATCAGCTGGGATTTGGCTTCAAAGTTTTCGAGAGACCAGAAACAGAATATTAGCTATAAAACAGTTATCAGTAGGCTATATGCAGCAAAGGGAGAAAAAAGAGGAAAGATCAGAGAGAGAAAGAAAGAGAATAAGGACTTATCTACACTATGGGGAAAATCGATGCTGCTGCAGTCGATCTTCTGGGATTTAAATTAGTGGGTCTAGTGAAGACCCACTAATTTGAACTGAGAGGGTGCTCTCATTGGTACCGGTAGTCCTGTGCCTCATGGCAGCGTGTGCTCCTATTGACCTCCCACTGTGTGGACAGTGCCAAAATGCAATTTAAGGTACTTCAACTCCAGCTACATAATTTCCCCTTTAGTGAAGACCCAGGCTAATAGACTAAGAGAGAGAAACAGAGGGGAAGAAGAAAGATGATTGATGAGTCAATTTGGTCTGCTTAGCCTAGACAGAAGGAAAAAAGAAACTATAATGAGCAGATTATGTATTTAACAATTATGGGAATACTCTATTGAGAGCATATTTTTTTTTACATGAAGAATCATAGAAGTGTTAGGTGATAATACTCGCCTGTGTTTGGCAACACCAAGATAAACAGAACCTCCTCTGACAATATGACAGTAACGGGGCAGTAGCATCATTTGTGTTTTGGTCATCCCCCTCACATCATTACTGCACTACTTCACTTCATGAGGTAAAGCTGTAGTGGATCCAAACATGGTTGTGAAGGCAGCCAAATCACAATTAATTCAATTGGGCTACGTCTACACTACATGCTTCTTGCGCAAGAAGCCTTTTGTGCAAGAATTTTTGCACAAAAACTTATTGCGCAAGAGCATGTCTGCACCTCAAAGCACATCACAAAAGCGATGAGCTTTTGTGCAAGAGAGCGTCCACACTGCATGGACGCTCTTGCGCAAGAAAGCTCTGATTGCCATTCACAGAATGGCCATCAGCACACCTGTGCTTTTTCCCATAGGAGTTTATTGCACAAGAAACCCCTCTGGAGCATCCACACTTGCCTTCTTGCACAATAGCTGTAGCTCTAAAAGCAGTTATGCCTCAGAAAAGGAGGTTTACCTACAGTGGAAAAAGCTCTCTCTTCTGCCGTTTAATTGCCCATTTAATTACGCAAGAGCTCATTTGAGGTGTGGACGCTCTGCAGGTTTTTGCACAAAAACCTTGCAGTGTAGATGTAGCCTTGGGCATAAAAAGCATGTTCTTTCCTCACTTGGCATTTTCTTCCCAGAGATATTGCCAATGCTTGCCATGGCTTCTGCCAGACTCTAGAATAATTGCCCTTTTTCAACAAGTAGTTTAAACATTGGTCCCCCACAGACTTGACAAGTCTGGTGGAAGTTTTGGGGATGTTTAATAAAATATCCTTCAGCAATCATTGAAGACCTGAAATTACACAGAGGATGAACTTGGGAATGCCAAAGGTGCGTATGTAGACTGCCTGGGACACATAATAAAACCGTTTTTTTGTGATGGCAAAATAACTAAGTTTGATGAAGTGAGTCATTTTAACTAAATAACGAGAGTCAAAAATCTCGAATCTCCCATGCTCAAAAACTAAACGGGCAACAATGAAACGTTTACAGTTTTAATATAAACCTATAAAACTCACAGTAATGAAAACACTGCTACTTTGAGCTGGTGTGAAAATGTGGCTAATTCTCACTCACTCTCCCCAGTACTCTTCTAGGAGCTGTCAGAAGGCAGGAGACTGCCAGGGTGAAATCTCTGTATCTGACACACACTTAGGTGAATGAAAGAAGATCCATTTGTGCCAGGCACAAAGGTCTTGACTTTAATCTCTGGAGCACCCGGACCTTTCTGCAAGTGCTTCAGGAGCAGGAGTTGTCACATGACACCCCTGAACCAGAGCTTACTCTGAAACTCCATGGGAGGGTGAATCTGTTGTCCACTAACTCTAGTCATCCCTCCTGAAGGACAAGCTTCCCACTGGGATCTCTTTAAATCAGCTAAATTAGACCCAGTGGAGTACCCCTGGTGGTAGACAGGGCTCTGGTATGTTGTACTGTGACTGTTATTAGACATCTTTGTGTGCATTATTAGCCCATCAGTCACTCTGCAGAAAACACACAGGTCCAGATTTGGTGAGAAAGCAGCCGCTAACAGCCACCAGGAACAGCAGTGAAATCCAAAAGGCTCACCCCTATTAACTACTTTCACAACTTCTAAAAAATTATTGTGTTGGAAGCTATTTTAGAAAGTTACCATGATGGGCTTGTGGGAATGGCCACAGGATTTGCCATTTCATGCCTAGGCCACTGATTCAAATCCATTCTAAATCAGTAGTAATCAGAAATTGTCCCTGCCTGATGGCTTTCCAGAGCTGAAGTAGGTCACTGTCTTGGGGTATGTCTACACAGCACCCTAAACTCGAAACACTATACACAATTCATGCTATGCAAATTGCATGTCTTATTTCAAAACTATTTTGAAATAGCTTATTTCAAAATTTGGTGCGTCTCATGGCGCCAAATTTTGAAATAGCACGCTATTTCAAGCCATCCCTTATCCTTTGTGCAACAAGGTTTACCAGGATGGTGAAATAGTGGGCCCGTTATTTTGAAAAATATTTTGAAATAACGGGTGGCTTGTGTAGATGCCGGGTAGCTATTTCTGGTATCCCGAAATAGCCATGCAGTATAGTGTCTCAGCTGACACATGTCTGTATCAAAGTTCACGACCTCATTTATTATCAGTCAACAGTATCTTTGTAGGCAGTGAGCAAAGAAACTGGGGATCAGAACATAAAAACATAAGGATAGTCATTCTGAAGCAGACCGAAGGTCCATCTAGCCCTGACTCCTATCTTCCAACAATGGCCAATGCCAGGGAATCAACAGAACAGGTAATCAGCAAGTGATCCTTCTCTTGTTGCCCATTCCCAGCTTCTGGCCAATACAGCCCGATGACAGAGAGCCCAACTGTGCACCTCTTGCTCATGCTAGCAAACAACTAAAATGAGTCATCTCTTTGGATTCAAATGGAGCATCTTGCAGGAGGGCATGTTCAAAAGCATAAATAAGAACTGTACATAGGGTCCTGCATGTCCTTCTTCCTTCTAGAGTTGGTGCCTCCCAGTCATATGGCAGGGAGATGTGCAAAGCTTGCACTGTTGCGGTCCATCCTGCAGCCATTTGGTAGGCAAAGGACATCAGCCAGACAGCTACTCTGACACCACTCCTATTTTTTTCTATCAAATGTGAAAAACAAACTAATTTGCTCCTTTTTCTGAGTTGCATTAAAGCAAGTGTAAAGAAGAGAGTGTAGGTTTTGTTTTACAATATATCTTCAGCTGGTGTAAACTGGCCTAACTCACTAACGTTAATAGAGCCACCAGTTCACAGTAGCTGAGGAGCTAGTCCAGTTATTTTTTTAGTTTTCCAAATAGAAAATCAGATTTATATTCGAGGATGTCTGCTTTGGAATTGCAAAACCTTTCATCGGGGTGGTTGAGCAGATCTCTCTTAGGAGTCAGACCATGTCCTGGGTACTAAGTTTTCACATAAATGGTAATGTGGCAAGTTTAATATGTAACCTTGTACAGTGGCACACACAAATACAGGAAACAGAGATGAGAGATAAAGCCTTGGAAACACATTGTGATGGTTGCATAGATGTAACCAGAGCAGAATTGGTTCTATAATTTGTGATATGTCATGTACTGTAGCTACAGGTGCACTTTGGGCAGCAATAGTTTTATTAATCTAACAGCTTCTAGTCAGGGCCTGATTCTGCTGTCCTTGAAATCAACAGGGTTTTGCAATAGGGAGCAAAGAGTAGAGACTAGAACAAATGTAACGCTGATGAACACTCTTCCTTCTTAGCCACCCCTGTCTCCAGTGCCTTCCTCCCTATCTCTCCTTGGTGTGTAACTGTTTTAGAGAAGAAAAACCTTGTTAAAAATAAACATCAGAGGACTGTAGGGTGTCTAATTCATTATAACATTTATCTTTTGGGGGTGGGAGAAACATATGTAATCTTTTTTGTCTGTTTCTATTGTCATGTCTGATTTCCTTTGACAAGTTGATTGTAATTATGTAAACAGCTATCCCTGGTTAACTCCAGCTATAGCTGGCATAACTAACTTTACATGGGTGTAACCCTACTGGCAGCTGTGAGTTTATCATGGTAACTCAGTGCTGAATCAAGGAGAAAATCCTTATTGGTTAAAAAGAGCCAAATTGCACCCTCAGATATGAAGATGTCACTCACTTGTGCCTGGAGAATCCCATGTTTGCACAAGGATATGGGTACTGGTAATTGTGCAGGTCATTGAGATTTTCACAGAGAGAGGCTTGCTGAAAAAGCAGCCCAAAGGACTCAGACCACTTCACTAACACTCACACAGTTTTGCAGCTGCTTCCCTGCAGTGCTTAGTTGGGTTGCATTTTTAAGGACTGGAAGAAGCAGATATTTGTTCTCCCGAGCTGGCACTGCCTCTCACTCACTGACATAAATTCTGGGCTCATGTGTGAGGGGGAGGCATTTTCTGATAGGGGAAAGACAGATTAGTGAGCAGGATATTTGCTAAATATATGAATTTATGATGTGCTCAGCGCTATTGCGTGTGTCAATTTAAAGTGAAAGCAGGACACAAAGAAATTGGTGGTAATAGTCCCTTTAATTCTTACAGAAGAGTTTTTACCTGGTTTTACAGTGCTTTTTTTTTTTTTTTTTTTTTTAGTGAAAATACACTGACCTCCCACACATTGCAAACCATAGAACCTAACTCTCCCACTCCTATCAAAGACCCACAACCTCTAGTTTAGTTACTGAAGATCGACCCTCCGGAGGTCAATCTTCTAGTGTTTGATTTAGTGGGTCCAACTTAGACCCATAAATTGAACACTGAGGGCAACCTCTGCTGGCGTCCAGTATTCCCACTGTGTGGATGCCACCACGGCTTGGCTTACGATAAGCTGACTCTAACTACACATTTTACATAGGTCTAGTATAGACCAGGCCCTGATGTCCTCAAACTGTGATTTAAAGGCTTCAGGTTACAAAGATTCCACCATATACTCTTGTTCAAACCAGCAAGTGACATATGCCCCAATCTGCAGAAGAAGGTGAAAAAAAACCTTCTGGTGAAAAAACCAGATCACTGCCAATCTGGTTTGGAGGAAAATTCCTTCCCAACTCCAAACATGGTGATCAGTTAGGGTATGTCTACACAGCAAAGTTATTTCGAAATAACTTTACCAGCGTCTACACAGCCAAACCGCTATTTTGAAATTAAATCAAAATAGCGGAGAGCTTATTTCAACATAAGAACGGCTGTACTGGGTCAGACCAAAGGTCCATCTAGCCCAGTAGCCTGTCTGCCGACAGTGGCCAGCACCAGGTGCCCAGAGAGGGTGGACCGAAGACAATGATCAAGCGATTTGTCTCCTGCTATCATTCTCCAGCCTCTGACAAACAGAGGCCAGGGACACCATTTCTATCCCCTGGCTAATAGCCTTTTATGGACCTAACCTCCATGAAATTATCTTGCTTCTCTTTAAACTCTGTTATAGTCCTAGCCTTCACAGTCTCCTCTGGCAAGGAGTTCCACAGGTTGACTACACACTGTGTGAAGAAGAACTCTCTTTTATTAGTTTTAAACCTGCTATCCATTGATTTCATTTGGTGTCCTCTAGTTCTTCTATTATGGGAATTAATAAATAACTTTTCTTTATTCGCCGTCTCCACACCACTCATGATTTTATATACCTCTATCATATCCCCCCTCAATCTCCTGTCTTCTAAACTGAAAAGTCCCAGTCGCTTTAACCTCTCTTCATATGAATTAACATTAATTATATATATGCTAACGGCTATTTCGAAATTAATTCTAAATAGCGGAGCACTTAATTCAAATTTGGTAAACCTCATTCTGGTGAACACATTGGAGAGGATCCAGTGGAGGGCAAACAAAATGATTAGGGGGCTGGAGCATATGACCTATGAGGAGAGGCTGAGGGAGTTGGGTCTGTTTTCAGCAGAAGAGAAGCGTGAGGGGGGATTTGATAGCAGCCTTCAACTTCCTGAAGGGAGGTTCCAAAGAGGATGGAGAAAGGCTGTTCTCAGTAGTGACAGATGGCAGAACAAGGAGCAATGGTCTCAAGTTGCAGTGAGAGAGGTCCAGGTTGGATATTAGGAAAAACTATTTCATTAAGAGAGTGGTGAAGCACTGGAATGGGTTACCTAGAGAAGTAGTGGCGTCTCCATCCCTAGTGGTGTTTAAGTCTTGGCTTGACAAAGCCCTCGCTGGGTTGATTTAGTTGGAATTGGTCCCGTCTAGAGCAGGAGGCTGGACTTGATGACCTTCTGAGGTCTTTTTCAGCTCTATGGTACTATGATTCTATGAACGCTAAATTCAAAATAGCTATTTCGAATTAAGTGCTGTGTAGACACTTAATTTGAAATAAAGGGCCTCCAGCCCTTCCCAGGGAGCCCTGGTGGCCACTCTGGGCACAACCAGGAAAACTTACTCCCCTCTCCCCCAGCCCCAGAGCCATTAAAGGGGTAGACTCTGTCCACAGTGCCTGTGCCAGCTCCAAACCTGCCAACCCAGAGTCAGCAGTCGCTGCACCTGACCCAGTGGCCCCAGCATAAGTCAGGCAGCCAGTGCCAGCCAGCCCTCCACCGCTACCCAGGACCAGTCTGCCAGCTCCCAGGAGCCTGCCAAGGGCCGGAAAAGGTGGGCACCTGTCTGGTCCAGTGTAGACATCAGGGACCTAATTCAGGTTTGTGGGGGATGCCCCCAATGTCCATGATCTCCGCACTAAATGGAGGAATGCAACCATCTACAGGCAGATGGCTGCCAGTCTGGCCACCAAAGGCCACATGCGAACCCAGGAGCAGGTTCACATGAAAATAAAAGGGCTGCAGCAGGCATATGCCAGGGCCACAGGGGGCAGCTCCCAACCAGGGGCAGACCCAGACCACTGCCTCTATTTTGATGGCAATGGACCGCATCCTTGGGGGCAGGATGGTCCGTGCTCCCCAGGTGGTCATCGACCCTGGGGCAGAACTTGCTGCCTACTGCTGCTCCAGCCCCTGCTGCCTCCCCAGCTACCACTCCTCCTCTCACTCCTTCTCCCCGTCCCGCTTCTTCCTCCCCACCCCCCTCACACCCCCAGGGATGCCGAGGCCCCCGCATCTGCGGTGCTGGGAGACAGTTGGGCTGGCGAAACCCCCAACCCTGAGCCTTGAGCTTCTCCTCCCCCTTCCTCTCCTTGCCTCCCCCTGCCAGCTCCCCCTCCCACCTTCTTTCCCCAGTCTCACCTCAATTTCATCCCCCCCTCCAAACCCCAGCTTTGTTCAATAAAGAGGCTTTGTTGTAATGAACACCTGTGTCTTTTATTGTACAGCAGGAAGGGGGGTTAGGGAGGGGTAAGTGGAAGGACGTGAGGGAGGAATGAGGCACAAGCCCCCAGTGGGGCACACCAGGGAGACTGTTACTGCCTGCAGAACGTGCTGCCAGGCTCGAAGCAACATGTCCAGGAGACGCACCAGAGTGTCCAGGGGCGGCTCCGGCTCCCTGCTGCAGAGTGCTGTGGTGTCGTGAGTGAGGGCAACCAGAGCACGTAGAGAAAAAAATGCTTTGCTGTCCCTCAGTGAGGTAGGCAAGCAAGCAAGCAGGGAAACCTTAGAACCAGCTGTCCTGGGAGGTCACTTTAAGCACAGGTCTCAGATAGCCTCAGGAAGCAGCCACACAAGGTAACTCCTGGCCTGATGCCCTGCCAGAACCGGTTCTCGCCAGCCTTAAATGCGATTCAGCATCCTATCAGTGTTGACACACTATTTTGAAATAGCAAAACGCTATTTTGAAATGCATTTTGTGTCTAGACGCGTTATTTTGAAATAAGCTATTTTGAAATAATACTGTAGTGTAGACATACCCTTAGACTCTGAGAATGTGGGTGAGACCCCCCTGCCCCAGACAGACATGTGGGAAAGAATTCTCTCTAGTGACTCACAGCCCTTCCCATCTAGTGTCCTATCACCAGCTACTGGAGATATTTGCTAATTGTAGGCAATCTCATCATAGTTGACAAATTAATATACATTCAACAGAAAATGGAAAGGGAGTGGGTTGTCAGCTAAAAATAAAAGCTAAGAAAACTCCGTTACATTTTCTTATCTCTTTGCTAAAATAGAAGAGCAGAGCAATTTATTCCCCACCACTTATAACCCAGTTTTTGTCCCCCACACATTATTAACTACTGATCCCATTGTACATCAGAAGGAAGCAGATACTATAACAGGGTATGTCTACACTACCCTCCTAGTTCGAACTAGGAGGGTAATGTAGGCATACCGCACTTGCAAATGAAGCCCGGGATTTGAATTTCCCGGGCTTCATTTGCATAAGCGGGGAGCCGCCATTTTTAAATCCCCGCTGCTTCGAACCCCGTGCAGCGCGGCTACACGGGGCTCGAACTAGGTAGTTCGGACTAGGTTCCTACTCCGAACTACCGTTACTCCTCGTGAAATAGAAACAACATTCTAAAGAAGAAACATATTGTAGGTAGAATCTGATACTTCTGTGAATTCTACTTACCCACAGGAATGGTCATTCCATGAATCTTGTCTGCCCAACCTGCATAATACCTCAAGGTTTTGGTGACTCCTTGAAGATCTACATAGAAAGCTTGCAGGAAGGGTTTACCACTATTCAGTGATTCCATGGTCTGGAGGAAAAGAGAAAGTGAAGAGAATATAAGCAAAGTAGCACAGTAGTCTATGCAGACTGCAATACCACTCAGGTAATGACACTAGTGTCAGACAAGCAGTAATGAGGATCAAACAAGGTTTCCCTGGTGTAATTTTATATCAGGAGCTTCACAATAGCTAGGAAGAGCTCTTTTTCACTGCTACCATTGTTTTGGGGGTGGGAGTGTGGCTATGTTTCTAGGAACAAAGACTTCTAAAGAGTTCCATGGCAAAACTTTTGTTGAATATTTCAACTGAATTTGAAACATACAGAATTTTTCTTGAAAACTCCTGGCAATTTTTAAAGCCCCCTAAAATTCCTAATCACTCACCTAATAATCACTGCTTTGGTTTAAATACATATATACAACATTTATTTAATCAGAAGCCAAGATAAAAATGTCTGTCAAATTAGATTCTGCTATGTTCAAGATAACAGTTGAGAAGGGGATCTTTGTAACCCCACAGTAACTATTCATAAAGAATAGAATGGACATACTCCTCTTTATATCATTGATGTGAATACAAAATATTCTCTAAATGGCTGCCAAGACCCCTGCTGAGACCTGGGCTATCTATAGTGTACAGCTACTTTATTTATTGCCATCAGATAAACACACTCTCCTCTAGGGAAGCTCAAAATTTCACAAGCTAAGAACCTTATTTTTAATTCAATATTCCTATTGCCAACAGTATATTACTAGGCATCCTCTTAAGAGTCCCTAAGATTGAACAGAAGCCAATAACATTTTCTTAGATGCTGAGTAGCTTAACTAACTTTCAACAGTTCCCATTATCTAATAGAAATTGTTATGCATGGGCTCAGTGGAGATAAGATAGCAGGTATAACACATGGCTAGGTACAGACAATAAATATAATTTGTATACAGAAGAGTGGGGGCCTAATTTGGCACTGATTTACACCTCAAACTGAAGTCAGTGGCATTGCCTCTGATGCAATTCAGCAAAAAAAATTGGCTCTGAACATACAAATCAAATGACAGGCAGAGTGAGCTTGGTTTGTTGTCCATTTCCTTCCCTACATGGCGATTTTACACCACACGCTGGTAGTAACATGATTTAACTGTTGACAAAGCTGGAATTAAGATGTTCATCAGCTTAGTTCAAAGCACTTGACATGCGGAAAACAACATTAACAATACTGCAGCTTATAAGCTTAAGGTATGTGCTAAATGGCATCATTTCTAAACTGTGCATTTCTGGTTCTGAACTGCATAGCATTTCATCACTCATTTTTTACATAAAGCACAAATTGCTTTGTGCAGTTTTCCTTTTTTATTTTATAATATATAAAGCCAAGTTATAAACACATGCGCACACACACACAGATACAAGGCCCATTGGAGTTAATGGGAATCCTGTTCAGACATACTAGCCAATCTTTTGCCAACATTACTCACATTTACACATCTATGAACTTATTTGCTCCCAGAATGTAAAGCTCACAGATTAAACAATTCTTGATTGTCTCCCTACACCACTTACAGCAAGAATTGCCCTGTCTCTTTCAACCAAGTCCGCTAGTTTATCCAAGAGACGGCCTCTTTCCGATGCATCCATTCTCCTCCACACCGAGCCTAGAGAGAAAGCAAGGCGAGCTGCCCTCACTGCTTTGTCCGTATCAGCCTGTCGAGGAGGAAGGAAGAATAAAGCCCTGGGGTAAACACTGACAGAGGATTAGTTGGTATCTGAAATTTCCTAACACACAATATCTCATAATCATACCAGGGAGGCGGGGGTGTAGGGGAAGGGCAGGCGTTATTTAAAGATTGGTCTGTTATCAGTAGGGATTCCACAGTGGAGTAGTAAGAGGTGTAAATTTTGGTCTAGTGTACATTTCTAACCATTTTACAGGAATTCTTTACCTTGTCGGCTTCCTGGATCTCACAGATCTGCTCTCCTGTCGATGGATTATACACTGGGAATACGTTCCCACTCTCAGAATTTTGCCACTCATTATTTATGAAAATCTAGAATGGGGAAAAAAAAGAAGGAGAAAAGGCACTTTAAAGTTTTGAATAATTCTGTAGAGCCTTCTTCCACAAAACTTTAGTGAGGCTCTCACCTGAGTAAAATGTTACTTGCTTGACTAAAGGACTTAATGAAGGACTCTGGCACCAAAGTGCTGAACTCATTTCTGCTTGACTAAAAGTTACAATGTTCAAAAGTTAAGAAAAGAGCCTGATCTAGCTATCATGGACATTGGGGTGCCGAAGGCCTACATCCTCCAAAGGGAAGTAAGCTCTTATCTTCCATTGATTTAATTGAGTATCTGGGCCTACATAGTATGGTTGAAATTGATTCACCCACTGTACAAAGAAAAAAAAATCACAAACAACCACATCATGGGATCATAACCTTGAAACTACCAGGACTAAGTGGATTAGTCACTCAGATCTCCATCTCAGCAAGTCTCCTAAAGCTTGTCACTGAAAGAACCCAGTCAATGTTAAGTAACCTCAAACACCACAAGTCTCCAAGAGTCAATCAGTTGATTATGACCAACTTGCAACACAGAATTAAATGTGTCACATCTTTGCATGGAACAATGGACATTACTGTTAAGTCCTGTTAGCGACAATATGATCTTAATTGTCACAGACAAATCAAATTCAGATTCTAATTCTACTGATCAGTTTCTATTTTAGCAAAATGGACTATGTTTGGTAGCTACATAAATAAGGCTTCCACATGTCTACTGCATGACTTTGGAGAACACAGTCCAAATTGTTATTAGCAAATGTGAAATATCCCCTTACAATAAGTCACTTTAGGGAATAGTCCTGACCTCAGTCAAGTCAATTAAAGTTTTGCCATTGACTTTAGTGGGGCCATGGTTCACCCCTAGACAAAAGTGGCAGGAGGAAAGTTCATAGCCCCTTTCCTGTGTTAAAGAGACTCAGCATCAATCCCTCTGTGCACGCAGGGACCAATCCTGCAAAGTGCTGGCCACCAGCCAACTTCACCAGGAGGCTTTGACACCATGAATGACGAGGCACATACTTGTCAGAGTGTTCTCTAAACTGTAGGCATCACTACTTACTCTTTATGGTTTATATTAAGACTTTTAATGGCAACTGATTTTTCTGGTACGCTGGGAGACGACAGTGTGGCACATGGAGCTTCTCGTCCCATATAAAGAGCCAATCAGAATTGCTTCCTTCCTCTGGGGCCCAGTCCACCCCAAAAGGGAGGCAGAGCACATGGAGCCATGCTCTCTCATGTGTGCTAGCCTGCAGAACAGGAAAGGCAGGCAGATGGGAGTATGTTGCACTGCTGAAGATAACATTTCTGTCTGAGCACCCCATGTATGGCGTGAGCACACTGCAATTTACTCAGGGTTGTATTCACCCTGTACATTCCAACCATGAGTAAAGCACTCAGGATAGAGCCCTTCATTCGTAACAGGAAACGTCTATGTCACTCACAGGAGAAGCTGTATATTTGTTTTTGTGTAGAAATCTGCAGAATTCGAAATTCTGAGTCATGAGTCTGACATTTTGCTGCTGGTAGAAAAGCATTGGGTTGTCTCTGTTAGCACTGTTCTCACCATTGCCATTACATCACCCAAATACAAAAACTCACTTGTGACTAGAGCACTGATGCTGGATGGAAACCATAAGTTTCCTCGAGTTTTCAGGGTGAACCCTTCAGAGCATTTGCGCTATCCCATTTCCACATCCCTCCCTGAAATTCTTCATGAAATCCTGTCCATTTTCACTGGAAAAATACCTGCATTTGGCAACAACTGGCCCACTTTTGAGTTTCATAGCCAAATAGCATGAGTTCATGACACATTTCATAGCCTTCTCGCTTCTTCACATATCAGCTAACCCAGACTGCTGAGCCTGTTCAGATAAAACTGGTCCTTCCTATTTAAGCAGCATAAACATCATAGCCTCAGCTAGGCAAAAGTAATAGGTTGACTTAATCCCTCCCTTTGATGGTGTAACTGCCATTGTAGGAGTTGATGTGCTGACTTCTCTACCTGGGAATAAAGTAAAGGTATTGCTGTCAAACTGACAAATGTGCCTCTGAAGCTGTGCTCTGGACAGCCAACCACAGAGCATGGTTAAGAGAGATGGCCAAGGACCCTGACTTTTCTGACAAGGGATGTGCTTGGATGATGGGGCTGCACAGATATAACAAAATGTGGGAAAAAAGTTGGTGTGACAAAACCGTTGCCTTGTTTAGTGTGGATGGCTCTGTAGGCAGTAAGCAGGTTGTTATATTTTATGATTTCCTCTGCCTCATCAGCCAGCAAGTTGATTTAGATCTCATGGGCACATATTGTGATGGCCTGGAAATGTCTTTTAGCTATTTACGTTCTCAAACATTTCCCTGCTTATGCACTTCTGCCTTATTCACTAAGAGTATGTCTACACAGTAGCATTATTTTGGAATAACTGAAGTTATTCCAAAATAACATAGTGAGCATCTACACTACAAGCCTTAATTTCAAAATAATGTTGAGCTGGAAGACTTCTTACTTTGGCTCATGGTAACTCTCATTTCATAAGGAGTAAGGGAAGTCGAAGGAAGAGTGTTCTTCCTTCAACTTCTTGCTGTGTAGACAGTGCCAAAAGCTGAAATAAACCCTTTGGACTTAAGCTACGCAATTGACGTACATGAAGTTGCATAACTTAATTCGACTTAAGCCCTGCTATGTAGTACCCTAGTATCCTAATATATCAAAGACCTCTCTTCAGAAAGTTTAGGTTTCTTGCATCACCACTTGAAACCGATTGTTCCAGCCATAGCATGTGACAAAACATTATGTATACCATTTCAGGCAATCACCCTTTTGACCGAGAGGATACAAAGGTTACATATTGATCCTCAACTGATTGTGTGTATTTTAGGGCTTTAACAGGATCCTTGAATAGGCACTGGACATTGGCATTAGTGGATATCTGGCTTGTGAGGAGTTGGGAAATGCGGCGAGAACTGAGCAACAACTAGTCTTTGGTCTGAATTTGATGGTGCTTCTGCACCACCTAAGGCCTCATAAGATCTTAATATTCAGACATTTCTGATGACAATGTGGTCAATTTCATTCCTGGCATATCCACTATTTGAAATCCAGATAGTGAGATGGCTATAAAGGTGCCTAACCAGGAATTCATCCTAGACGAGCCCTGTGCAGCATTTGTCATTATTGAGGAACCTTAACCAAAGCAAGCAGTTTCATAACCAGTTTGATCACAGCCAGTCACAGCACTGAAATCTCCAAGAACCAGCAGTATATCATATGGTACAGTTGACTGGACTTTTCCTGCTAGTCGGTGGTAGAGTGACTCCTTGGCACAGTGCCGTCATGTGCCTGGCTGTCCACCTTTAACAGGCTTCTAACATCCTAGTCACAAAACCAGACATCTCTCCCTGCTCTTTGAGGGATGAGGTCCTGGGAAGATGGAAAACACATTAAAAACACGTGCTGAATCACACACATGCTGATGACTGTCCAGTGCTATGTGACCTGGCAAATCACATAGCTGCACAGCCAACAATGAACACTAATCATTCCTCACTCAAAGAAGTATGAAAGGTCATCCAAAAGTTACAAAATGGACAGGCTGCTGGATCTGATGGCATTCCACCCTAGATATGCCAAGGGACCTTTGAACAAGTGAGTACCGGCCTGCATCAGCTGTTCCTAAGTGTGAGCATCAGCAGAATAGAAAGATGGCATCAGAGTGTCCCAGTGCAAGGCCAAAGGCAGGATCTCACACCAAATGTAGCAACTGTAGGCCAAGTTCATTCTTATCAGTCCATGGAAAAGTCTTCACTTTCATTCAGCTCAGCAGGATGCAGCCACTCCTTAACAGACACCATGCAATCAGATTTCATTGTGGGGTGATCCACAATGGATGAGAGACTTACCCTTTGGCTTCTGGCTGAGCTGCACTTCCACTTAACGTGGAACATATCAGTATCAATGTGGGTTTCAGTTCAGTTGGCAAGTCAGCATTTTGGTTCACACCCGCACACTGAAAAGACTTGGTATTCCAGATGTTTTGCTAAATCTGGTGTGTGCCAGTGTAAGAGAGCACATTTGTTCTCATTTTTCACAGTTTCTACTCATCCTCAGCTGCCTGGCAGGGAGGCATTTTCGCCCTAGCACTAATCTGTCAAACTCTCAAGAGGATATTAGGATTTGCAGCTCCACATGTTGGTCAAGAACTATTCACTGGCCAAGACTATGCAAGCAGTGGTGCCTTATTTGTGACAAAGAACTTCAGCCCCCAGTCTTCAAGATGTGGCCAGCAAATTAAAGCACCTCATGAGAGAAGGGCAAAGTACAGAACGTTGGAGGTAGGCCACCAGAATGTTTGGCGCAGGTGAGATTGAGTGTCGACTAACTAATTTAAATACCTAGACTGTTAGCAGACTTTGAACAGTCACACCAATCTGGACTTTCTCCAACAATTAGGTCCTACTGTCTCTTGCATGAATTCCATGTCTAACTTATGGAAAAACCATCTTTGCTCTGAGATAGAATCTATCAAACCTGTCTACTACCTGTATTGCTATATGGATCAGAAACCTGGACCTGCTTAAAGGAAGACATGGAGTGACCAGAGGCATTTTATATGCAGTCATCAACAAATTCTGAGGATAAAGCACACTGTGCTCTCAAACTCTTCAACAATGTGCAAAGTTTTCCACACCCTGGACCTGATTGCTAGGACATCCCAGAGATCTGTGGATTTTCAGGATTGAGCCAGATCTGGGCTTTTCACTACTCAGTGCCTAGTGTGACACCACCCATTGAGATCACTTTGGCTGACGCATTGGTCCCAGGTGACTCTGTGTATTTAACAGTGATGATGATATGTACCACAAAGTTCCCTGGGATTTTGAACTTTGGTGAAATTCATGTGATAACAAATTGATCCATAATTCTAGTTTTCCCTATGCAAAAATCATATGAAAGTAGATCTGTCACTGAGCTGGCTTCTATTAGAGA